CCCCAAAACCCCAAAACCCCAAAACCCCAAAACCCCGGAATTTAGTTATAATATTGAAAATGTCTAAATTTGAATTAATCAAGAATGGCTTCACTTTTGAGCACGATCAAGGTATCTGTTTGTTTCAATTTTTAGATCAAGACTCGATCAATACCGATGAGTTATTGATGGAAGACATTATTCAGGAAGACCAAGATAGCTCAGCGAAAAATTGTAATTTAGAGTATGATTTTTAGGAGGTAATCAATTTGAACATGAAAATGAGGCAGCAATTCAAAAATCTCCTGAGACAAGACTTCCGTTAGCTGATATTGCAATAAAGGAGGACGATGGCAATATTACAGCCGGGAGTATCAGAGATCGCAAACCTGTAACATCTATTAATTCAAAACCTCAAGATGTGTCAATTGAAGTATCTAAAAGTCCTCAAAGATCTCCTATTGAACCATATAAAAAATTTTCGATCAAAAAGGAAAGAATTCTCAGGGAGAAGATAAAATATTCTCAAGAATCTTTAAAATTAAGCAATAAAGCAAATATTGAGCTCAATTGAAATGATTCTAACATGTTGAAAAAGCTAGACAAGAAGGAGGAAGCACTTATCGAAGAGATCAGAGAGCTCTAAACCCACCTACATTTCGTCAAAATAAAAAGGCAAGCCAACAAAAAGACTTCATATCTGTTTCCTTAAAGAGAAAAATTGATATTTGTCCATACCAAAATGACTCCATGTCTAATCCAAAAGTAAGCATTTCTCATAATTTTGTAGTTTCAAGATTTGAGCTATAATACACACTGAAATGACAATAGCCTCAGTAAATCAGATTATAAAACAGCAGACGCTAGCAACTCTAAATATGATGCTTTCAATCGAAATACTATTGATTCGACATGATCAGGCCCTCACATGGCTTCAGTTCAGCATCTTTCGACTGCTGACGATGAACTCCATTCTGAAAAGAAGAGTAGAAACAAAGATTGCAAGAAGCTGAGGGAATTTAACATCTTTACACAAGAATCACAGTCTAAAAATGATGAAATCATTAATCAAGACATAACGTACGAGAGTTTTAGCAACTCCCGAAGTTATCACCAACTCTATCTCAAAAAGAAAGAGTAAGTATATTTCATAATTTCTGCTAGTTATGGAAAGCGGCCTCGCAAGAATAGCCAACAGAAAGCTATTCCTTGTCCACAACCGATAGTGAAGAAGGTAGATTTGTCTCTTGTGCAAGACAATAATTCTACTCCACAAGAAGGTGTTACTTATCAACCTCTCAGGAATGCCACTCGGCCGAAGAAGATGAGAGAAGCACTCCCTATTGAAGCCAGTGTAGTCAAACAAACTGAATCAATTAAGAAAAATCTAGAAATTTGAGGGTAAGCAACAATTATTAATTCAAATCCTTTTTATAACTATCTCCCTTCACGACAAAACTTCAAATCTAATTTAAATTACCTTCTGAATCTCTTTGGTAGATAATCTCTAAATACTAAATTTAAAAGTTCTTTAGCAATCTAAAATTTAGGAGAATGAATTCAGGAAGAATTGTCAAAAACAAGAGTTCTAAAAACTTATCCAAGCCCATGCACTCAAAATAACATCCAGACTGCGAATGACTCCTTCGTCAATCAACAGAGTAAGTTTTAAGTTAAGTTTTAGAAATCATTAACGAATTGCTAAAGGAGCTGCAAGCAGAAAGGAAGAAGAAGTCTGAAATAGAGAGCCAAAATAAACATAAGAGATCTAATAGTGGGTTTATTCAGAAGAATAATCATACTACACTCCCTCTCACTTCTAGAATGGGCGAGTATCTTTATGATAGCTCAACTTTGGATAATGACCGAAGTCAGGTCTTTGCTAAAAAGAACAGCACTTGTGTGAACCCTCCTTCTTGAGAAAAGAGTTTTCTGAACAAGTCTGCAATCAATATGAGTGTCAATCTGAAACAGGAAGTAACAGATTTCAGGAAACGTTATACGAGAGGAAGATATAACCAACTGACTAAATAAAGAAGTTATTCAAACTAAATACTCAAAGGTGAAGAAGAGCCTGAAAATTAAGAAACAGATTGACCAGGAGAATTCAAAACCTAAAGCTTATAATATTAGACAACAAGAGATCAGTAAATATTATCAATACCAAAAGAAATTAATCGATTCTCAGAAATTCAAGGTGAGAAGGAACACCCAGTCTTGCTCTAAGATTGTCGATCATTCGAAGAAACCCCTCAGAAGAAAGAAAGATATTAATACTGGAGCTGAGAAAGAGTAAGTCATTTTGAATATCAAATTATAGACTCTACCCAGATGTGAGCTTTAATATTCCTAACATTGAAGGGAACGCATCAGGATATAAGCACTATGAACCTTTTATTGACGAATTTCAGGGGCAACAGAGCTGCCAAATGTCTAATAACCAAAAAGAAATTTATGAAGAATGGGTATCATCACAAACCTCTGATTACGACAGAATTTTAGCGCCATCGGATTTTAAATAATTTAAATTTTCAATAAGATTATTTGTGATGGGGTTTTGGGGTTTTGGGGTTTTGGGGTTTTGGGG